ATAATAATAACATATAATAATATAAATAATATAACAATAATAATAATAACAGTATGGTAGTATAATTACTATTGTAATAATTATAACAACGACAGTAATAATATAATTACTATTAGAATAATTGTTGTCAAGTTATCTATGATAATAAAAGCTAGATAATCTATGATAATGATGTCCAATACTAATACATAAAAGATTAACGCGCGAACCTTGTTCCCCAGATTGGGCACGCCGTTACTGTTGGGTGGATTTCTGCGCTACTTCCGGAAAGGTTCGGTAGAATTGTACGAGACCGCCATATGGTTTGGAGCTGGAATATGTATCGCGATCGGCATGAACGTGATAAGCAATTCTCGGATGATCTACGGATCTGCCCACATGGGCGCCAATGTTCGCGTAGCTGTCTGCTCCGTGATATACAGAAAGGTTGGTCGGAATATGTGCAAAAATTTAGACGAACGTATAACGTAGGAGGAAATAAAGAGTAAATGCATCTAAATAAGTATATAAAAAAACAAAAGTCATTTACACAAAAAATCATTACGACATTAAAATCGCGTCAAAATGACTCGGATTATTAAAAGTCACTTGTCGAACGGTATTTTAAATTTTCTCATAAAATACACTTTGAAAATGTTAAAAGATCAAATCAATATTATAGCCAATTTTAATATAAATGAAGTTACACTAATGATGATTCAAAGAAGAGTCGAAATGTCTGGAAATTTCGTATTTAAATTTTGTGTGTAGATCTTATTATTATTAAAGAGATAATTTGCGCCTTATGCTCGGCTCTCATTTGTCCGATTTGTTTGTTACAATTTGAAGTTCGAGAGACTTTTCTAGATTTTATATAAATATGTGTTGATAAAAATCGACGACTTGAATATTTCCTTTGCAATACGATTTGTCAGCATGTTCATCCTTAGATTATATTATAATGGATGTTTTACTCTTGTCTCGCAGGCTCTGCGTCTGAGCACAACCGCGCTGGGCGAGACAGCACCCGGAAAAGTGATTAATTTAGTGGCCAATGATGTTAATAAGTTTGATTTCGTCTTTTTCTTATTTCATCACCTGTGGTCGGCACCTCTTTCCACCCTAATCGTGGCTTATATTCTTTATCATGAGGTCGGCTATGCCGGTCTCATCGGCATCGCCGTAGTCT